GTGTAAAGACGTCTTTGCAGCTGTTTTGTAGTCATTGTGGTTTTTATTTTTTAAGGATTAATTTAACACCACTAACCATTTTATTACTTTTACCAAGAAGAGCAAAGTCTATTTTTGATTTCTGTTTCCTAGTTCTCAGGAACGTTAAAAAGCAGCATTCAGCTCTGCCCCGTACCCCTCACCTTCCACATCCTGTGGTCCCCTCTCCCTCCCCTGACCAGGACCTCCTGATGCCCTCTGTCACCCTCTCCCTCCCTTGTCCCTTCTGTGCACATTCCCATTCCCCCCTGTCCCCATCCCTCTGTGTCCCTGTCCCCCTGTTTGCCCCCATCGTACAGTGCTGTGTGCTCTCTGAACCACCTCAGCCCTGAGTGGTGGTGGCCCTGGGTTGTGGCAGATGAAGGGTGGGCACCAAAGCAGTTATTTCTGCTGTGGCACTGGGGCTTCATGGGGGGCAGGGGGTTGGTCAGGGTCTGGGCCCTACTCCTGCCCCACTCCTGCCCCATTCCTGCCCCTATCCCCCCCGCTCTCTTCAGGGCCAGGTGCCACCATTGCTGCCAGACTCCAGATCTTGGGTTTGTGCAGCTGCTCACCCTTCCCAGGACCTGTTACCCCTATGGGGCTGCTCCCACTCCCAATCTGCTGAGGGCTGGGGGGGGGCTGTGACAGGGTCTCCTCGCTGTCCTCCACGCCGTGTGTCGCCCATCCTGCTCGGTTCTCCTTCTTGAGGCGCCGGCGCGCGTTGGCAAACCAGGTGGAGACCTGCGTCAGGCTCATGTGGCTGAGCACGGCCAGCATCACTTTCTCACCCTTGCTGGGGTAAGGATTGCGGGGGTGCCGGGCCAGCCAGGCTTTCAATGCTGCGCTGCTCTCCCGTGCTGCTCCTGCCTTCACCCGCCCTGGCTCAGCAGGCAAGGGCTGTTGGCAGCACGGCGGGCACAGCCCTGTGGGCACTGTGCAGGGTGGAGGGACCTGCGGGCACACAGGGGTTGGGGTTGGGGGGGGCTGCAGCTCCCCAGGCTTGGAGGGGTTCCCAGGCCCCCGAGAGCTGTTGGGCATCGCTTACCATGGGCGTCAAGAGGCGGAAGGGTGGTGGCAGCAGGTGGTACCCGGGCAGCACGGGGCAGGCCAACAGGGTGGGCGGGGGGCCCTGTAGTGCTCCCCATGGTCCCCCGCAGCTCCTCAGGTCCTGGCTGGGGTTCCCCTTCCTCTGAGGCGTTGCCATGCTGCTGGAGTGCAGGTGGGAGATGCTCTGGGGCTTTATATCAGGGTGGGGTCCTTGGAGGCGGGCGGCTGATTGGTGTATTAGTGCCCTGGCAGTGTCCCTTAAAGCCACAGTGCTGATCTGGGATGGTGGTGCCCCCCTGATGGGCGCTGCCAGATGGGGAGCAGCCCTGCTGGGGTGGGAGCAGAACCACTGGGATGGGAGCAGCAGTGTGCCAGGACCCGCACCCCTGACCTGCACATGGAGTGGGGGCACTGGGGGGCTGAGTGCCACCCTGTGAGTGGTGATAGGATGTGGCACACAAGAACGCTGCACACAGGGATGTAGCACGCAGAACCCTACTGCAGTGCTGGGCCCTGTCAGACCCCTTCTCAGCCCTGGAGCCCCCAGTGCAGTGTGGGGCAGTTCTCAGCCACCTGTGCCCTCTCCAAACCACCCGTGTTAGGAAGTAGTTGGGGCCACCCTGTCCTGGCCGTGTCCAGGAGGCCACAGCTGGATCCTTGTCTGCAGAGAGGCCAAGGGGGAGGAGGAGCCCCGGGATCCTTTGTGCAGTGTAGAACCGAGGCCCAGAGGTGGGGGGCAGGCCGTAGTGTGGTCCCTGTGCCCCCCATCCATCTCCTGCTTGCACACCACCCGCCCAAAGCAGGATTATCCCCCAGGTTGTATCTGTCGTTAAATACCGACTAATAACGCTCTCAGGATATTAAATATGTAACAAACCCGCTTAGTGCTGGCCGGGGACGGGAAGGGGAAGGTCACCAGAGCTAATGAGCCCTGCAGCACCCCTGGGCTCACCCACAGCATCCCTGGGCTCCCTGCAGGCAGTGGCAGCCTCCAGCTGAGGCGCCCACCTGGGCCCCGTGGCTCCACAGCCCCCACGAGCAGCAGCCCAACGTCCCACTCCCACCCACCCCATGCCATCCCCACCTCTATCTGCCCATACACCAGAAATCACGGCGCTACCAGGACTCCTGCATGCCAGGTGGGGATGGTGGGGCAGCACAGCTGGGGAGAACAGGGCTGGATGGGAGCAGACAGCTGGGGCAGACGGGACCGACTTGTGGCCCCATAACCTTGTCCCCGCAGGACTCTGCCAGCCCCAATCAGTGCAGTGCTCCCGTGGAGCAGATCTGCTTTATTAGATAATGGGGCTGTAATCTAGGAAAGCGTCTGTTAACCCAGTGTGGCACAGCTGGACAGGGAGGGCCACCGCCATGTGTGCAGCTGAGGGACACAGCTGGAGCAGGAGCCCAGCACAGGCAGACAGGTGCAGAGCAGTGCAGAGCAGCCAGCAGATGCTGAGGCTGGCAGCCACCAATGGCCCTCATTCTGGCTGGGCAAGGGGCACGTGCAGGCAGACGGGCTGCCCAGGGATTGTGGAGCAGCAACAGACCTCGAGCATTGCCCAGCACCCCTGCTAAGGTTCGAGCCCACCTGCTGCACTCATTCCCCCAGAGCTGTGCCAAAAGGCCAACAGCACAGCCATCCGTGCCCTGGGATGCTTTTGATACCTGGGTGGTTGCAGGCCTTCTTCCCCTCTAGAGATAATCAGCTGAATGCAAAAGCACAGAACTAAAACTCCGAGATTAGCTGTTATAATCACATGTAAATACTTCCAGACAATCCGCTCAGGGAGGGGCAGCGTGTGTAGTTTGGGACAGAGTTACATGGGATTTAGGCTGTTTACCACTTGATTAATTTCATGCCTCCAGCCCCCCCTGCTCCCAGCTGCACAGAAGTCAAGGTGACCGCAGTGGAAGGAAGCCATAGCACAGAGCCCAGGTGCCGTGCAGCACCACGCATGCCGGATCCCAGCCTCCAGGCAGCACACACACACCCAGCTTTCAATCTTTTTTTTATTCGTAAGCATATTCAAAGCTTGAGAACATCAGAATCGAACCCCTCCCGTAACAACTTACAAACCAGCTTTGCCACAGCGTCCATCCCTCTTGCAAAGAAAAAATAGAACTCCTTCCACCACCTGCACGGCCCCTTCCTCTGTCAGGTTCCTCCAGTCCAAAGCCCTGCTGCCCGCCCGCCCGCAGGCCGGAGGAGCCAAGGGAGGGAGGCTGCCCTCAGCCCGGCCCTTGTGCCCCACGGGTGCGAGGAGTGGGGGCTGAGGCTGAACGACCTCAGCATCTCACGCTGCACCACGTGGCTGCGCTCGGCCCTACAGCTCCCCCGGGATCCCTGCACCCGAGCAGATGCTGAGTTTGGCCCGCACAGACATGATTCAGGGAAAGGGGATTTCAGACCATCATCAAGTGCAACAGGCAGAGATGAGCCACGTGAGTGCTGCCACTGCTCAGTGTCCCGGCACTTTGGCTGTGGTGCAGTCCCTGCTCAAGACAGCCTCCTGTGCCAGGCAGGATTTGAAGGACCCTCGCTGTGCACAGCAGAGTGGCAGCACACCCTTGCTGGCATGCACTCAGGCACGTCCCTCGTAGCCCCAAAGCAATAAGGCAACTGCTGGCTGTAGAGGCTCCCGCTGGCTGCCGCTGTCCTGCTCAGCACAGATGTCCCTGAGCATCAGCCAGGCCTGTCACCAGTGCTAATCTGCCAGCGTGATGACATCGTAGTGGATTCCCTGCTGCAACTGCTGGATCTGCTCAGCCGTTGCCTCCGTGGCAAACACGCTCTGTGCCTGAGCCATGGCAGCATCAGCCACTGCTGCAGAGAAGGGGCATCGGTGACGACGTGGGGCTCAGCAAAGATCTCCCCCCACAGGATTACAGGGACAGGGGTTGGCAGGGGGGCATCCAGCCCAGCCCTTCTGCTGAGGACTGCAGCAGGGCAGCCCTACCAGCTGCAGTGAGCGAGCAGCCTCTGCAGCAGAGCTGGACTGAGGCACCATAGCAGCAGCTGCTAATGGGCATCAGCAGCTCCCACTCAAGACTGCCATCCTGCAAGCAGTAGGAAGATAGAACAGCCAGAGTGTGGCCCTGACATACCTGAGACCGCTGAGTGTGCAGCTGCTTCCAGCTGAGCCTGGGTGACAAGCTGCTGCTCAGGTGAGACAGGCATGTACTGGATCTACAGGGAGGAGAGAAGAAGGAGAATCCAAGTGCACCGAGTTCCTCATGGTTGCTGCAGTGAGTCCCTGCCCCCTTACCTGTGGCTCCTGGAGAAACTGGCTACCTTGTTCATACTGAATGTGAGTGATCTGACCATCCTGAACCTGAAGATAAGAGCTGCAGTAAGGCTGTGTTAGGGCCAGCAGGCTTCCCTGCCTACCAGAGTTGTGACTCAAACAGAGCAAGCCACAGGGACGAGGAGGTGACCCCAGCACACGGCACCCACACTGACCTCACCCACCGTACAAAAGGAACAGCCAGCCTGCAGCTTACCTGGATGTGATGTCCTTCTGGGACAACAACGTACTCGTGGGGAAGCAAGTGCTGTACGCCATCCTGGGCAATGATGTACTGAACCTGCAAACACAGGGATTCAGACCCAAAGAACTGTTCACCCACTCCCTGCACTGCAAGAAGGCTGCTCCTTGTCTGGCTTCTGTGCGCTTTACCACCCCGCTTCTCCCCAGATCTCCCTGCTGTCCCTGCTTCACCTGCGTGCAATGCGCCCTCACCTGGTTGTCAGATGTCACTAAGTGCTGCACTGTCTGTCCGTCGGCAGTTGTGATCTCCTGGATGTACGCTGCCTCCTCCTGTAAGCCAGCCAGAGCCGGGTGCTGTTTTAGAGTGGGCAGATCTGACTGCGAGCCCCCCCGGCAGCACAGAGTCAGCACGGGGAGCAGCCACACGGGGCAGCACAACGAGGCCAACCAGCGTGACTCACCTGGCTCGTGATGCTCTGCTCCTGAGCAACAATGATGTGCTCCTGTCCCAGTGCCTGCTGCAGCCGCTCAGGGGCCAGCACTGCCTGCCCGGATTGCAGGGCTGCTGGAAGGGGGAGAAAGCTGGTGGGGCACTGCAGCCTGGACAGGCCCTCAGCTCTGCTCACCAAAGGTCAGAAGTTAAACCTAGCTCTCTCAACTTGAAGGAACTTAGAGATCACCACGGGTAAAACCCAGACCTCTACGTCAGAAGGTGAACTCCACTGCCCATCCCAGCCACAAACTGTTTACAGCACAGCTCCTGTCTGAATGCACCCCATCTTATTGGGGTTCCCTGTTTGACACAGAACCACTGCAGCCAGTGCCTGTGCAGGACTGCTCCCAGCACCGAGCCCCTGCAGCTGGCAATGGCACACTGACACCGCCACGGTCTCTGCACCCACCAGGTCCTGCTTCACTGGCAACCCTAACCTCCAGCAGGAAATTCCCAGCCCAGACCATTTCCAGCCCTTGAAAAACTGCAGGGGAACTTCATCAGAGCAGGGAGGAATCTTACTCTGCAGGGTGGCCAGCGTGTCTTCATCACTGTTCAGTATGATGGTCTGCTGGGCAGCAGCTGCAGGTGCCTCCGGCTTCTTCCCCTTTGAGCTGTGCAAACGCTGCATGTGGAACTTGAGGTGTCCATTGCGGTTGAACCTACAGGAGGAACAAGAGTGAGGTGGAGCTGCACATGAGCTTCATGTATTTGCAGAGCTTACCTGCAGGTATCACAAACACACCACCCCAGGACATGGCCTGTCCCAGCTCCTAAAAGCTTTTCCATTGGCTCAAATACCAACTCCCCCCCCCCGTACAACTTCTTTGAAGACTAAGCTGGGTCTACCAGCAGCAGGAACTGTTCTCAGAAGAGCACAGTCTCTCTAACAGATTGCTCCTGGAGTCAGGGCAGCCAGCTCCTTGCTAATATCCCACGTCCTCTCAAACCCGGAGCTACAGCGGAGCCCTGGAAGCAGCAACAGCCCATCAGAACTCACCTTTGCCCACAAATCTGGCAGGCAAAGGGCTTCTCATTGGTGTGTGTTAGCATGTGTCTGCGCAGGTCCTTCTTGTTCTTGGAGGCAAAGCTGCAGTGGGTGCATTTGTGTGGCCGAAGGCTGGCATGCTGGACCATGTGGCTCTGGGGGCAGAAGGACAAAGGTAGGGTCAGGAAGCCCCGTTTCCACAAATCATTTACTTCCAAGGCTGTTCTAGGGCACCTTACCCGAACCTCCGGCCAGAGGGCTGCAGTGAACGGACAGTCAGGACACTTGAAGGTGCTGGGCCCAATGTGGGCTCTCTTGTGACTCTCCATTTCTGCTCTCCCTGTAAACATGGCTGTGCAAATCTTGCAGGAAAATTTTTTGGCTGTGGAAATCTTGCATGAGAGCTTCTTGGCTGTAGAAACCTTGCACGAGAGCTTCTTGGCTATGCCTTGGAGTGCAGGCCATTTGACCTTGGGGGATGTGACTTCTTGCCCTTCAGAGGTGGGGGACAAATTTGAGTCCTTCTGGAGCTGCTGGGTAACACACTGCACCAGAGGCCACTTGACACCAGCTGGCTGTGCCTCCTGGCCCTCTGCTGGCAAAGGGAAGGCAGCATCTCCATTGAGGGGCTAAGAGAGAAACATCGGTCACACCTGCTCACCCTGCCGCCTGGAAAAGAGAGAAAGCCCAGCCTCCTCACCTCCATGTGTTGGAACTGATTCCCCGGGACGCTGGATGACATGATGTAGTGATTGTTGTGGTCCTTCAGAACCTCTGTCATCACAGCTTCGCTCACCACGACTGCATGTGAAGTCTCTGCAGAGCCCTCCTCCTCACTGCCGGCAGAAGCCGCGGTCAGAGCGGAGCCATTGCATCCCCCTCCCCACTCAAGGTCTCCTCTTTCAGGGCAGAGGTGCCTCTGACTCCCACTCCTCCCACAAAGCTGACCTGTACAGCGTGCCTGGAGCCTGAATCTCCTCACTGATGGGTGTAATGATGCTGTACTCCGTTGTCCCGCCAAAGGGAATCGTGATCTGCTGCAGTTCTGAGCCACCCAGGGCTGCCTCCTCGTAGGCCTCCTGCACCAACGTCTCCCCACGGTCTGCCATGTGCAGCGTTACCAACTTCTGCTGCTGCTCAGAGCCATCCAACTCCGCCCCTTCCTCCTGTGCCTGCGGTTCACAAGAGTCCTGCACCTCTCCCGAATCGTCTGGTTTCACTACTGCCACCTGGAGGGGAGTGCAAGAGGTCAGCGGGAGGAAGGCTCTGCAGATGCTCCCTCCAAAGGGAGCAGGGCCGGGCACTTCCAGAGGCCCCGGACGTCTCCTTGCAGCAGGCACAGCCACCCCCTGCTCACCTGTAGTGAGCCTGCAGCAAGCTCTCGCTGGGTACTCATGTTCAGCAAAAGATCCAGGGCGGTCTGCGTGGCCAGTTCTGCCGATCCATCCACACCTGAAAAAGAAAAAGAGTGAAGCACAGAAAAGGTTTAAGCACAGCACTCAACCACCTCCTCGTCTCCTCCCCTTCCCCAGGAGCTCACCTTGTTCATAGATAATTGTGGCCCCCTCCAGAGAATCCTGCGAAAGGATGGGAGGCTCCGAGCCGGGCACTGCCTGCACCGCCTGGTAGGTGACAGCGCCGAGAGGGGCCTGCGAGACAGAGAGCTGCAGGGAGCCAGGGCCGAGGAGCAGGGAGGAGCCGGGGCGCGGGGGGCGGCACTCACTGGTGGGTTGGCCTCCGGCTCAGCCGATGCCTGCACTTGGCGGTGCTGCTGCTTCAGCTCCTCGATCTGCTGCAGGGTGAAGAAGGGGCGGCGGCGGCAGGGCGGCTCTTCGGGGTGCCTCTGTGCCCACTCCTCAAAGCAGTCGGCATGGCGGCAGTGCACGTGGAGGCGCAGGTTCTTCTTGTGCTTGGTGGTGAAGTGACAGAACTCGCAGGCAAAGGGCTTCCCTCCTGTGGGACACGGGGGGTGGAAGTCAAGAAGGGGCCCCCAGGGGACGGCGCCCTGGCAAAGCGGCGTTGAAGGGCGACAGCAGCTTCTCTCACCCGTGTGCTTGACGGCCATGTGTGAGACCAGGAAGTCCTCCCGGAAGGTGGAATACTTGCAGAAGCTGCACTTGTAGGGCTTGTCGCTCATATGTGACAGCTGGTGGTTCAGCAGGACCTTTTTGTCCTCGCAGACGTAGTCACAGAACTCACATTTGAACCTGCCAGGACAATGCCATCTGTCACACAGACAGCAGGGACTTTCTGCCCCCCCTTGGAATGGGAGCCTGGACACTGGTTCTCCCAGCAGGCTGCAGCCAGGTTCCTACCTGCGGTTAGCAATGGCCTGGATGTGTGTCAGCAGGTGCATCTTGAACGTGTAACGCTTCTTAAAGGACTTCCCACACTGCAGCAGAAGCAAGCGAAGCAGCGTTTGTCTCCTGCACAGCCCCACTGCTGCCAGCTCTCCTCCAGGCCCCAGCCTCTCACCTTGTCACACATGTGCGGCTTCTCTGTGCTGTGTGTCTTCATGTGCTGAGTAAGCCTCTTCTGCATGGGGTAGATACGATTGCACACGGGGCATGGGAAGGAGTTCAGCTTTGGGGGCTGAAGGAAGAGCAGAAAGATGAGCTCATAGGGGCCGAGGGGAGGTCACCAGTTTCCTTGCCTCTCTCCCTACCACAGGACCTGGGCTGCCTTTCCTCAGCTGATCCAGAAACACTGACTTCAACTAGGCACAAGGAATTTGTGGACAACACAGACATGCCTCTTCCCATAAAACAGTGCTGAGAGACAAGCCATCAGGGAACTGGAACTCACCGGATCGGCCCTCTTTTTCCTGAAAAAGAGACAAAAAAAATCCTCTTGTCAGCCAAATCCTGAGTTTGAGCCCCCCAGTACATCACAACTATCCATTTTGGAAAGCACGAGAGTTCAGGCTGCACTTCCAGGGCAGGAGAAGTGATATTAATGATGTTCAGCCAGGCTGCAGGACAGTCTTCAGGAACTCACCCCACTTACCTGTCCCGACTGTGCACTGTGGAGTGTCGGATGACGTCCTTCTTGTACACACTGGTGTAATTGCACTCCTCGCACTTGTAGGGCTTGCTGCCTACGTGGTTGAACATGTGCTCCTGCAAGGAGTGGGAATGGGTGCCACGAGGCCTGGGGCTCTCAGCCACCTCCGTGGGGGTGGGAACAGGACAGACGGTGCTCACCTTGAGGGAGGACCAGCGTCGGGAGCGGTAGCTGCACTGGAGACACTTGAAAAGCTGCGGGTCATTGGCCTCGTGCGAGTTGACGTGGAAACGCAGATCTTCGTGCGTGAGGAAACGCGAGCCGCAGATCCGACACAGGTACGGCCTCATCAAGGGCTTGGGTGACTTGTAGTAATACCTACACGCACACAGAGCTGGGACTCAGAGCTGTGGTGACAAACAGAGGCTGGACCGGCCCTGGGTGCAGGCCAGAGGGCCCAGCACTGGCTCGGCACACACCCCTCACCTGCGCCCCATGTACTTGCGGTATTTTTTGCCCAGGAAGCGGCGGGAGGGCCGGCCTCGCCTCCTGGGGACGACATCTGCTTCCTCAGGGCCAGTGTTGGAGGAAGGGTCCTTATTCTCAGAGTCAGACTGGCTGATGCTGGGCTCCGCCAAGCTCTCACCGGTCCCATTCTCCAGGCCAGAGGAACTGGCTGCTTCTGAATTCTGCAGCTCACAGCTGGGTGTGCTCTGGGACGTCACCAGGGACTCCACCTCCTCTCCTACTTGACAGCACACAGCACATCATCACATACACTCCCCATGAGCTCCCAGGAGCTTGCACACCACGCTGTGCTGACCCACCTTCATGCATGTCCTGGGGCACATCCCCCAGGCGAGGAAACTTGCGGGGCCTCCCTGGGCGTCTCCGTGGCCTCTCCTCACTGGACGTAGGCACTGTGCGGTTGTTCTTGGGCTGTCGCCCACGGGGCTCATCCTCAGCTGGATTATAGTCACTGTCCTCTGAAGGCAAGCGGCCCAAAACATCAGACAGAGATGAGGGGAAAGACTAAGCTATGTAGGACAAGGTGAGAACGAGTCTTACCTTCAGGGTCATCGATAGCACCAGCATCCATAATATCATCATCTTCTTCCTCTGCGACCTCTTCCTCTGCAGACTTTGGAGCAGAACCCCCCTTTCGTGGACGTCCTTTCTTAAAAGCCAAAGCTGAACCCGCTAACACAAAACGCAGAACATCTCCTTACTTAACTGTACCACAGCACAGGTATTCACACTCAAACTCCTCCTCGTAACTCCCCAGAGACAACAACGATCCCATCTGCAGTAAGATATGTTTTTCTCAGTGCTCAGCAGTGGCAGCACCACACACACCTGGCTGGAAATGTCGCTCTTTCATATGGTTGATCAATGTTTTCTTGGAGACACTCTTGTACTGACACATCTTGCACTTGAACTGCTGCACCACCACCACTTCCATCATCTCCTCCAGGGTCTCCAAGTCCGGCTGGTCCAGCTCCTCCCCACCGTCTGCCTCCCGAACCTGGCCTGGCTGTGCAGGCAGTTCCAGCACCTCTGACTGCTCCGAAGGGCCTGGCTGGTCAAGGCACGTGGAGGTCGGCCCATCAGCAATAGCTTCTACTGCCAAGCTATTGGCCAGAGCAGAAGTGGACATCTGGGACACAATGGGGGCACCTGAAACAACAATACTGGATCAGCCAAGGGGCAAATCTTCACCTACACCCAGGCTGCACATAAACCTTGAGCACAGAGCTGAACTCGGCATCCACTCCTGCCCTGTGTCCTGAGAGTTTTCGCCCTGCAGCTCGTGCTTACACACAAACCATCCCCTACACGTTTTATTTTTCACTACCAGAATGGGAACAGGCTCAAAGACAGAGAAAGCCACCACTGAAATGCCCTGGGTGCACCCTTACCATCATCGGGCCCTTGTAGAATGAGGTACTGAGTAGTCTCTGCTCCCCCATCTTCAGCACTGGTCACAGCTATGCAGCCTGGGGAGGGAAAGGAGAGGAAATCAGGGTACCCACCAGGGGCAGAGGCTGAAGCGGCGCTCCCAAGTTCCCAAGCGAGTAGGAAAGGGTGCAGGAGGTCTGGTTCAGCTTAGAGTCTGCACAGAGTAGCTGTGGCACTGTGGCCAAAGCGGCAGCAAGCCAGAGGCTGAGCTACTACCCAGCAAGTAGCTCAGAAAACCATCAGCTGCTAAGGCAAACCGAGATGAGAAACCTTGCCAAACAAGGACGAGGTGTAAGCATACGCAAGCACATATTTCCCCTTACCTCCCAAGCCTTTAGCAGCTCTCTTCCCCAGCCCCACCACTCAACCCACCCCACGCAGGGACAGATCCACTGCCAGCAGCAGCAGCACGGCATGCACTCACTCTGGATGATGTCAGGCCCAATGGTGGACTCAATGATTTTGTCTATGGCAGAACCCAGGTCTGAGGAGGTGGATGCGGTGGAGTCTGACACAACCGTGGCTCCGTCGCTGATGACACTGGAGTGGACCAGGACCTGCGGGGACTCCGACACCATGACGGATTGGCTCACGGTGGAGACGCTGGAGACCAAAGTGGACTGTGCGATGGAGGATGAATCAGGCAAGTAAATCCGGGGAACCACATCTGTGCTGGAGCTGCTCTCAGACACCTCTTCCTAAGCAAAACCAGCAGAGGCAGAAGAGCTCCGTTCAGCAATGCCTGCCGGGCCGGGCACTCAAGGAACCGCCGCGCACCAACGCCACAGGCACGGCGCTTCGTTCTGCTACAGGGATGGGGTCGGGGCGGCTTCTTCGGCCCTCACTGAGCACCGCGACCCTCGGGGCCGCTCCGCCCCCCCCCCCTTCCGAACGGACCTCCACCGCCCGTACGGCGGCACCGGAGCGCCCGTACGGCCGCGGGCAGAGCCGGCCCCGCCGCCCGTTCCCGTACCAGGCACACGGCGCTGCGGTCGGAGCTCTGCCCCACTCCTGAGTCGTCCGCCCGGGACGGAAGCGCGGCGCCCGCGGCGGCGTCGCTGCTGTCGGCGGATACGGACACGGCCTCGGAGGTGCCCACGCCGCTCTCGGACGGTTCCTCCCGCGCCGCCTGCGGGGCCGCGTCGCTGCTGCTCGGCACCTCGCTCTCCTCCATGCCCGCCCCGCCTATGCCCGGCCTGCACGAGGATCGCGCCGTCAGCCCCGCGACCGCGGAACGCCTCGCCCCGCGCGCCCCACGCCCCACCGCGCCCCGCTCCCGCGGCCGCCGCCGCCGCCATCTTTGCCGCGGGGTCCCCCCTCCCCGCGCCTCCTCCGCGCGCGCGCACAGCGCGGGGCGGCCGTGGGGCGCC